ACCTTTTCTGTCATTTTAAGAAATAGGGCATCATGAGCCTGATTTGAAATTTCAGCTGGTTTGCTCGAAATTAACATCAATTTCAAAACGGTATGCAAATATTTTAAAGTAATATTTGAAAATACTACATCATTGTAGGTTTTTACTAAGAATGTTAATTCCAATTAGAATATTAAAAAAATAAATCTACATTAATAATTAATAATAACCAGAAAGGAGTGAATTGATTTTATTGATTTTTAATATTCTACATTTTTTAGGTTAGGTCATACTGTATATGCTGTATCTGGTACTTTTACAGTGAAGAACGGTGTGTCTACTCTTCTCAATATTTGTATCCCAATATCGCTAAGTGGTGTGCTTATGTATTGTATCTTGGCGATCAAAATATGTGAGCTGTACAACAGACCATGTTTACTAAGGGGAAAAATATCAAGATTTGCCTAAAAAGTACTAAAAAAAAAGACTTACTGATTCATTGAAAATCAATACAGTGTATTTATTTTGGTTGAAATGATATCTAGGTTAGAAATATATTGTAGGAAAACTCGATTAGAGCATATTTTGTGGCTGCTTGTTTAGTATATTAATCTAGAAATCTCATGAATAGCTGGACAGCACTTTTATACCTCCTCCATGACATGCTGCACATTTCTTGTCCTGATGTCACAGGGATAACAACTGAGGAGAAATCTACCAGAATCACAGAAAACAATAAAAACCTGACAAAAAAAAATTGTCTGTAGTTAGGCTTTAATCATGACACTGATCAAAGAAGCGAGGATGTAGCTGAGCTGTAAGTTTTCAGATAATCCAGAAGATGACTTTCATGAGTTTTACTTTGGAAGAGTTCTCTTGGCAGTTCTAAAACTGAGTGAGCTTACTGTATGTGTAATAGGAAATAATGAGAGGTATGATAAAAAAAAACTCTATGATAGCAATGCTACTACTACTAATTATTATTAATATTATGAAATCTAATGTAATAAATGTGGGTGCCCTCCCCTATATAATCAGACCAAGGGCTGCCAAGATGGCTTGCATTCTATGCATACATGTGCATAATGATGAGAAATTCATTATTCAGTAGTAAGAAAGTACTACTCAATAATGTAAGAGGTATTTTACTAACCACCAATGTGAAGGGACACTTCTCCACTGACCGCTATTTTAAAGAGAATGGTCTTCACTGTCCAACAATGTAAGCTGGCACTTCACTGATGACTATTCTTAGGAGACACTTGTTTACTGGCCTCGAGTGTACAAGGGCAATTTCCAATTACCACTAATAGTAGGTGGCTCTACACTTACCACCTATGTAAGGGGCTCTTCTCCACTGATGAAGAATGTTAGGAGGCACTTTTGCAATAAAGGGAGCTCTTCACTAACCGTGACCGTAAGGAGGCCCCGCAGTGAACACCAATGTCATGACTTCACCTCTGACTACCCATTTAATAGGACACTACTTTGACCACCAATGTAAGGGGGAACTTTTCTTCTGACCACTAGTGTAAGGGGGCACTTTTATTAAAGTAGGGGCATGTCTCCACTACAGAGCTCTGTACTAATCACCACTTTAAGGGGGCACATCAGTGATTACTCTGCACATATATTAGCTAAAGGATTGTGATCTGGAGCACAATAAATAGTGGTGCGCCTCCATCTCTCAATCCTTAATCCACACATTTAAAGTGATTGTTTTGTCCAGTTGAACTGGATGGACTTTTGTATTTTTTCAGCCAGATTAACTGTGATGTAACTATGACACTAAAGTCTTGTTTTTTTATTTTTTTAACGTAACAAACATGTTATACTTACCTGCTCTGTGCAATGGTTTTGCACAGAGCAGCCCAGATCCTCCTCTTCTTGGGTTCTCCACTGGGGATCATGGTTCCTCCCTCCTGTCCGGTGCCCCCATAGCAAGCAGCTTGCTATGGAGGCATCCAAGCAGCTGCACTCCTGAGCTGCGGCTATGCATGTCCATTCATACACAGAGCCATGACTTGGCCCCGCCCCTCCCCCTCCTGATTGGGTCACTAGCTGTGATTGACAGCAGCAGGAGCCAATGGCTCTTGCTGCTACCTTAGCTAATCAGGAGTGAGCGTCCCCAGAGAACCGAGGCTCTTGTGCACATCGCTGGATCGGAATGGGGCTTGGATAAGTGTTAGGGGAGGCTGCTACACACAGAAGATTTTTTTATCTTCATGCATGCAGTGCATGAAGGTAAAAAACCTTGAACCTTGAGAACTACTTTAAGTACATAATTCCTGGAACTTTAAATGAGGCACATCACATACAAATAATAACATGAATGGTACACATGATTACAATTTTATTCCATATATACTGATCATCACAACAAAATCCGATTAAGAACAGTATTGAGTTAAATGTAATATATCAACACAACCAATATTGCAATATACATTCATTCATAATGTTCTTATGTAAAATGTACAGTTCAGACACATTGCATCTAAGAACGTGGCGTGTTTCATGGATCTCAGTCCACTTCCTCAGGAGTGGATGAAAGGTACACATATACTGTACTAAAAAAAAAAAAATTGATAACAGAAAGGCATAATCATACAAATAGATCAACAATGCAATTGGATAGCCCTACTACTTACAAAGCAGCTCAAGGGTAAACATGACAGCACTCTGCACAGTTCAGATCTCAGACATACTTCAGTAATGTGGTCAGAACATCAGTCACCTCAGAGAGTGATACACCCCTGGAAACACAGCACATTTTTGTTCAGGGCAGTCTGAGATCTGCCTTCTGAACATCTGGCTTTCTTCTACAGTCAGGCCACTGAGTAAAAAAAATACTCTTTGTCCTCCGAGAACTCTGGAGAGACTACAGCTTAGCAGATTACTTGTGCCATTTCGGAGCCCTTCTTCTTTCACTGATGTCTACCCTTACACCTTCTTTCTGATTTGCTTTCTTTAGATTTCCTTTGAAGTTGATATTATTGCCTTTTGGTTCTGCTGGGGTAATATCCCTTTATTCTTTGTCCCTGTGAGTGCAAACAACAAATAAAGGGAATGGGAGCCACTGTAAAAAAAAAAAAAAAAAAAAGTGGTAATGAAAACCATGGGTTCTAGCCTCTGCCAGTTTTACGTAAAAATGTTTATAATGTTGTCTCTTGTCCTTGTGAATTCTTCTAGGACATGAGTGGAAGGCTTTCCCTAAACAAAAACAAGTATTGGCTGGGGTTGGGTTTGAACTTGGATAAAAACAAAAAAAAGGAGTTAAAGAAAATCCTCTGAAATTCTATACAGACAAAGTAGTAGTAGAGTGTAGTCAGCATGTTTCCCAAAGATTCCTCAAAATATATATTCTGAAGCAAAGATTGAATGAATAAACGTTCCTTTTATTTTGAATGTACAGTTTTATGCTGCAGAGTATATTCCAGGCACAGAATTTCAACAAAACAAAAATTGGCAACAACCCTGATTAAAAACTAGCTTATACAGTAAAGTGTGCATGAAAGAGATTTGCAAAGAGCAAACAATACTAAAAAAAAAAAAAAAAAAAAAAAAGATTTCCCAACACACTTACCAGCTAGCCAAACACCCCCCCCCCCCAAAAAAAAAAAAAAACAATTACACTGTCTAACAATTTGTGTTAAAAACAGAGGTTTTAGCAGCATGTTTGTGGTATGTGGAAGTTACATTGCCATATTAAGGTGCCTTTTGTAACAATAGTTTGACAGCACAGTGGCTAAATGGTTAGCACTTCCGTCTGACCCTACTAGGGTTGTTGGTTAGAATCCCAACCCTGGCACCACCTGCCTGGAGTTTGCATATTCTCCCTGTGGCTCAGTGGGTTTCTTCCGGGTACTCTGGTTTCCTCCCACACTCCAAAGGCATGCTGGTAGGTTAATTGAATCCTGTCTAAATTGGCACTAGTATGTGTACATATGAATGTAAGTTAGGGACTTTAGATTATATGCCCCTTGAGGGTTAGGGACTGATGTGAATGTACAATATAGATATGTAAAGCGCTGCGTAAATTGACAGTGCTATATAACTGCCTGTAAAAAAATAAAATAAATGACACACTCTATGTATAGCAATGGCTAAATCAAAGAGATATTAAAGGCTATTTTTTTTAATAAAGAAGAGGGTATACTTACTAACGATATTGCACAGAGCAGTCCCTTGCTTCCTTTTCTGGTAGTCCCCTGCCAGTGCTGTCCACTTCTTGCTGCTCCAGGTGCTTCTTTAGCAAGCCTGCAAAGAGCAAACAATACTAAAAAAAAAAAAGATTTCCCAGCACACTAACCAGCTAGACAACCCCCCCCCCACCCAAAAAAAAAAAACAATTACACTGTCTAACAATTTGTGTTAAAATCAGAGGTTTTAGCAGCATGTTTGTGGTATGTGGAAGTCACATTGCCATATTAAGGTGCCTTTTGTAACAACAGTTTGACAGCACAGTGGCTAAATGGTTAGGGAAGGTATACCTACAGAATAGAATTTCAGCTGTAGCAGAAAATTTCTGATCATGTCAGAGATACAACAGTCACACAGGAAGTGAGGAGATGTCTCCAAGTAAAGGGAGAAGTACTCTTTCCCCCATTATTTTCTCCTTCAGACAAATCAATTATTGATCGCAGAGAGCCCAGGCTTCCCAACCCTGGCTGACCTGCAGTGTCCTTACAGGATCCAATGGGGATCCCAGCTTTAAAGTGTTACTAAGCCCACAACAGTAAAATCAGCTTGTATATGCAGTAAAGCACGCTAGTTATATTCACTGTGGAACCTAAGGGGCAGGGGCAGGGGCGGACTGACAACTCATGGGGCCCCCGGGCAATAGTGGATCATGGGGCCCCTGTGTCCTTGCCCAAACTCAAAAAGGCCTATGAAAAATGTACCAGGGGCATCTCATAGGGCCCAATACTGACCCCGGGCCCTCGGGCAGTGCTTGAGTTTCCAAATGGTCAGTCCGTCCCTGCTAAGGGGTTAATCCTCCACACTGTGTAAAAATGCTGTTTGATACTGACTTTTCTGATCCTCCCATTCTTCCAGTGTCCCCCTCTTATCTCCTGATAAGACATATCATGTGGAGACACTGCACATGCTCAGTTTGGTGTGTATTACTAGAGGTTTTTTTTTTTCCTGGGAGAGTGCATGTGATCAGCACAGGGCCAATCAGCACTGCCCAAACTGAGGTCAGAGGTTCTGCATCCTCCTACAACAGAATGAAAGCTCCTCCTACAAGCTTTAACATGTGTTCTGCTCAGGGGCAGACTGACAACTCATGGGACCCCTGGGCAATAGGGGATCATGGGGCCCCTGTTTCCTTGCCCAAACTCAAAAAATCCTATGAAAAAGGTACCAGGGGCATCTCATGGGGCCCCCTACTGACCCGGGCCCTCAGGCAGCGCCCGAGTTTCCAAATGGTCAGTCTGCCCCTGGTTCTGCTGGACACTGATAGAAGTCACAAGACTGCTCTAACTGCTGATGAGAAAAGGTATTTAGCAGTTTGTATTTACTAAAATAATTGCTTTTCCATGTTGTGTGTACTGTGGGAGACCAGATATAGTGAATGCAGGGTCCAGGGTTTAGTAAAACTTTAAGGCCTCAGGTTGGTACAGTGTAAATCCCAATTCCTTGTGATGTGACTCACCTAATAGAAAAATAAAATATCTCCTTTTTTTGAATATCACCTATTTATAAGTTATACTACTTTCTGATTAGACCTTTCACATCACATGGGGTGAGGATTCCTACCCCATGACCACCTGTGGAGTAAACGGAAGTCCAGTGCTTGGTTTTGTAGTTCTATGGTGAACAGAAGGAAAATGTTGATTTTCTGATACATCTTGGCTGTTTAGCTATAATTTTATGATTGGAGATATTTTCTTGTTTCAGTTGCTAAAGCTCATACACGAAGGGAACGTGTGGAAGAAATAACAAGTACATAATCTTTTATCAGTTCTAAACTGCCTAATTATCTCAGAATCAAAATAAAAAATTTTATCATCTTTTCTTATTACTTGCAAATGAAAAATATGCTGTAGAGAGCACAGAACCATAGCTTTTTAGCTGCAAACAACTACGGGCATGACATCATTAGTCAAACACAATTATGTAAAGGCAGTAAGTAAAGGATCAATCTGCACTTAAGTACTGTATACATTTTATGTTATATATGCATGTGTGCACACGTGTTACATATAACCATTAACTGCAAAACACTAAGGGACCATTTATTATCAGGAGTGAATATCACTTCCCGCTGTACTGCTCAAGGTTACTTTATACCAGGGCCTGCATTTTAAGGTCCATTCATAAAATGCAGGCCACGTCGTGAAGCCTAATGTGCCCTACTTTGTTCTGTCTGCCTAAGGAGGATATGTACCTTGTAAAATGTTTAAAATAATTCTAGCAGGCGCTTACATATGTTTGATCGCTTCTAAATACTAGTGAATAAATGCTTTGTGTACAAATTTCTTGGAAAGGGAGCTGTTATCTCAGACACCCAGGTCAGTGTTGAAGTGCCAGTAGTGTCAGGTTATTAGCTTCTACGGAAGATGCACAGTACTGGCTACTTAGTATGGCAGGAATATCAAAATCACAAAAGTGGCAGTATTTTGGCAGGAACAACATTTGCATGTGTGGTGTGACCATCTTTTGTTAACCCCAAAGCGGTTCCTTTAAATAAGTTAAGCCTTTGTACCAGCTTTGCTTGAGGTTGTTATTATTGTACTGCTCCCAAACTCATTAAACACATAGTAACTTTGATGGTTCTGTGTTCCTGTAGCTCTTTATTTTTGTCTTTTTGCTGTAATACTTACCTGATTGGCTCTATTTTGCTGTAATACTTACCTGATTACCACCCACAGTAAGGCGGCTATTTAAAGTGTTTGTAAAGGCTTTAGGTTTTTTACCTTCGTGCATTGTATGCACGAAGGTAAAAAAAAACTTCTGTGTGTAGCAGCCCCCCAAGACTTACCTGAGTTCTCTAGGGACTCTCACTCCTGATTGGCTGAGGCAGCAGTGGGAGCCATTGGCTCGTGCTTCTGTCAATTGCAGCCAGTGAGCCAATCAGGGAGTGGAGCAGAGCCACAGCTCTGAATGTAAATGGATACACAGAGCCGTGGCTCAGAAGCACGTCTACTCAGGTGCCCCATAACAAACTATTTGCTCTGGGGGCACCGGACAGGAGGGAGGGACCAGGGGGGCCAGTGGATGACCCAAGAAGAGGAGGATCTGGGCTGCTTTGGGCAAAACCACTGCACAGAGCAGGGAAGTATGACATGTTTGTTTATAAACTGGCTGACTGGCAATTGTTGGCCCAGGGGGCAAGTACAATCCAGAGGCCCATGGTGCAGCAACTTGGCCCCCTCCCGCACTCCCTCATCTCTGACTCCTCCTAGTGCCAGATTAAGTATTACAGGCCTGGTGCTGAGGATTTTGTTGGGCCTTATATAGAAATAAAAAAAAAGAAAATGCAAACAATTTTTGTTAAAACAAAGAGGGGTAAGAGAGGGGGGAGAGAGAGGGGAAAAGTAAGGTTAGGGAGTGATATGCATGGGAAGATTTTCTGAACAATAAAGGGGCTTAAAGGGGGATCACCCAAAAATAATACTCCTATTTACTGTACCACAACTGACACCTTCACTGACACATATGAACCTCAGGACAAAGGATCTTTTTTTTTTTTTTTTTTTAAAGAAATGCTTCCTTTACATATGCTTTTGTGCACACAAAAATGGTCTAATTTTTTCTTATTAAGCCTACCTTAAAATCAGCAACTGTTGAAACAATAAACACCTTGGTCAGGACTATGTAATGTACAACAGAATGTATAGAATGCAAGGGTCAGGAGTAAGTAACCTGCAAACAGCATATGGAATGCTTCCGTCAGGATGAACCCATTGTTCGCATCAGTGTGCCCCCCCTTACATGACAGCTCCCAGTATTTCCCTATAGGTCACGGATCCCAGAGTCTATCCTTAGATCAGAGTCTCCAGCGTTCTCCCTTACACCAGAGCGCCACCCTTACATAAGAGTTCCCCTTTACAGCAGAATCCACAGAGTTCTCCCTTAAATCAGATTCTTTCCAGCATTCCCTCCCTACATCAGAGTTCCCAGTGTTTCCCCTTACATCAAAGTTCACAGATTTCCCTTTTACATCAGAGTCCACAGAATTCCTCTTTACAGTAGAGTTAAATCAGGGCATTGCAGAGCCCCCTTAAATCAGAGCCCTCTTTACATCAGAGTTACATCATAGCCTGCAGAGTTCCCCTTTACACTGTAAGGGGGAGCTCTGTGGACTCTGATGTAAGGGGGAAGTCTAGGGACTCTGATGTAAGGGGAGTTATGAGAACCCTGATATAAAGGGAAATGCTGGGAACTCTGATGTAAGGGAGAATTATGTGGATTCTGGTGTAAAAGGAAACCCTGTAAGGGGTCTCTGATCACTAGAGCTCCCCTTTGCATCAGATTTCCTAGAGTCCCCCTTACAATATAGTCTGCAGAGATCCTCCTTACATCAGGGTCTTTAGAGATCTCCATTACCTCAGGGTTTCCAGAGTTCCCCCTTACATCAGGGTTTCCAGAGTTCTCATTACACTGCCATTCCTCAGTCCCCCACAGTCTAGGGCACTACAAGTCCCAGCACAGCAAGCTGACATTCCTCACTGAAGAATGGCAGCCCTCTATTCTAGGACTTGTAGTGCCCTCTGTAGGGGACTGAGGAATGGTAACCCACTATGCTTGAACTTGTAGTGTCCTCTGTAGGGAACTGAGTATTGGCAGCTTACTTTGCTGGAACTTGTAGTCCCCCCCCTGCTGCGCTCGTCAAGCATTCCATATTAAAAAAAATATCTGCGGTGGAAGCGGCCATTTTACAGAACATCAGAGCAGCCTTGTCCCCCTGGCCCAGTCCACCCCTAATAGTCCCATAGGTAGGCTGTTGAAGGCGATAGCTTCTTCAAAACCCATTTCTGTGCAAACATCATTGAGGGTTATTTACTAAAACTGCAGAGTGCAAAATATGGTACAGCTCTGCATAGAAACCAATTGACTCTCAGGTTTAATTGACAAAGCTTAACTGAAGAAAACTGAAGTTAGAAGCTGATTGGCTACCACGCACAGCTGCACCAGATTCTGAGTGCACCAGTTTTAGTAAATCTAACCCTCACGAGTGATGTCACATCAGAGGGTGGGACTAAGCTTGGTGGCTGCCTACCTTGTGGTGTGGCATTTTCATGCTGTTCTCAGGGGTCAGCATTCCCTGCAGTGTTCCCCGCTATAATTCCTTGCCAGGGCTGGGAGCTAGAGCAGACTGGCTTCTCTGCACATCATAACCCCCTTCTATTCAATATTACATTTGTGAATGCATTTTCAAAGGTTTATTAAATTTACACTTTTTTGTTAACTTACTACATTAGTGGCTCATTTGTGCTTTGTGCTTGTTTTTATCACAACAGTTGTGCGGTGTATATATTTCAGTTGTATTTTTTGTTCTTTGGTTAGTGTACAGCTTTAATGACAGACCAGAATCTCTAGTTTCTTTAGCAGCTGAAAATGTAAACAGACATAAAACCCTATGATATATCAAGGAGAAGGAAGCATTTGAATGTGAGCTTTTAGATTCAAGATCTCAGTGGTAAACATGATCAATAACCAAACACATGATCTTCCGAGGAAAAAGCTGTGTACAAATACATAAATAATGATTTTATTTGTAAGAACATATCATGGGTGCGTCAACAAAATAATGAGGAGAAACAACTAAGAATCTATAAAAAAACAGCAATAGAATATTACAAACTAGGTTGTATATTTTTCAAAACGAAGGTAGTAGATCTTGTATGGAGGGCTAGGTTTACTCCACAGGATAGCTAAGTATTCTTTTGTTATGTCTGTTTTTCTCTTAACTCACTGCAGGCAGTACAGAATCTCTGCATTATGCAGATTTTGTCTAACTAGGGAAAAAAGAGACATAGGAACTGTAGTTTGAAAATATTTTACTGAACAGAACACAAAAGGTAGAACTCAAGGGGGGCACAACCATCATCACAATCATATGAATAAGTACCTAACATTTAAACTGGCAGCACAGCATCATTAACCAGGCACA